ACTGTACTTGAGTACTATTTTTGAGAAGTGAGCATGTAACAAAGTAAACTTTTTCTGGAGTACTTTTACTTGGAACGAAGTCATTTTAAGAAGTAACGTTTTACTTCGTTATTTTCATTTTGTGGCGAAGTATTACGTTACTTTTTAACTTTTGTTTAATTTTACGTGATTTATTTCTGATTTATTTTAATTTCGGGAAAGGTAGTAGGACCTCTACATGCGTCTGGGATCTCCCGTTTATGACTTACTTATAAGAATTAATTATTTAATGGATTTCTATATCTTCAACGGAGTCTGGAAAGCAGACCATGCCGTAAAATATTGTATATATTCGGTGCGCGCATATAATGCGTGTGTTGTTTTGTGTCTTTTGTATGTTAATCCATTGGGGAAGTCCTCCTCCCCCTCTACAGGCTGCAGACAATAGTACTTTTACTTTTACTTTGTACTTCAAGTATTTTTTAAGGATACTTTGTACTTTTTATTTAAGTACGTTTTCCTTCCAGTACTTTTTACTCTTACTCAAGTTGTTTTATTGTTAATTACTTCTACTTTTACTCGAGTGCAAATTCAAAGTAATTTAGGCACCACTGTGTACGTGTGCGGGGAAGCTACGAAATATCGTAGATACGGACTGCAAACTACTTGTGACAACGATGGAGATTTCCCTAGGCCTAGCGCTATTCCCACAGACTTCAATTTTCTTTAGCCGCCATCCGCATATGACAGTATTTCGTTTTGAAATTTGCGAACACACAGCAATCTATATTTATATTTAATTTTGATAAGTAAATTTGCAAACGTAAACAATCTGTGTGATCACAGCGGTCCAATCTCAGAACGAATGATCAGGTGTTGCGGGTTTTTAACGGTTTTTATAAACAAATTTATAGTCAACCAAAACTATTCTAAAAACATTCTCAAATTGGTCAAGTAAATACATTTTAACAATAAAATATAGTTGACATGATAGTATAATACCTTTGCATTTATTTAATTACTCCATGAGCTCATTTAGAGCGCTTGATGTAATGTATTCTGTGGCCTACATTGTGTGTGCTCATTATATATAATATAACAGTAAACGGCTAATCACTGGCGGCACGACCGCATCGCCTTCAAAGTCAAATATCTCCGCTCAAATTTGTCGTACGCCAAAACAAATTCGATTACATCTTTTCACAAAGATTTCTCTTTATTTTTCACATTGCATCCTTGGACCCATTGCACATTGCTCCCGTGGGGAAAATTTACCTGCGTTTTGCTGGTAAAAATATTCCACATACTTATTGCCACATTCCATGTTCTAAAAATGGAATACACTCCAGGTGTTTCGAGTGTTTATGCATTTCTAGAATCTAGCTGCTGTCACCTTAAACCGCCCTGCTGACGCCAAGAAGACAATTTCCGTACAAAAACTTTTAAGTGAGCTTGGACTCCGGAGTTAAACGTGATAATTACCTAGTTCATATAAATTCATGCATGTTAAAGGTATTTCTTGCCAGCGAGTAATTTAGAGAAAAAATCAATTTTGAACCTATATTTCTCTTTTGTGTGTGTATTAATGTGCGTGGTTGAAAGTGTTAAATCAACACCTTAAAAGGGTTTTATTTTAGCATCAGAAGAGCTGTTGCTTTGGCACTGTCAATCAAGTTTTAAGACTTGTTTTAAAAGGTGCTTTTTAACACTCTTAAAAAGCACCTTTTAAAACAAGTCTTAAAACTAGTGTCACTTTAGCACTTAAAAGTGGTGTTACTTTAACAATATCAACAGGTGTTAAATTAACGCCAAAAACTAGTGCTAATGTTACACTGGAAATAGGTGTTGTTTAAACACCATATCTTGTGTTATATTAACACTATTATAGTGGTGTTAAAATAGCACCAAAAAGTAGTGTCATTATAACCTAATTTTTTAACACCACTTTTTGGTGTTATTTTAACACTCTAAAAATAAAAGTGTATCCGATAGAGAACAAGAGACCATGTGCTAACCATTATTTAGTAAAATACATATTTATCTTCTTTGATAATAGCACCCAACTTAGGGCCCTAACTATTAGGGGTTGTGGTGGTGTAAAATTCTCCCCCAAAAATATAAAGTCAAATAACGAGGCCCAATTTGCCGGAGGGAGCCCTAAAATGATGGATTTGCGAAGATTAGGAAATATTGTGAAAAATTGAGGTCGAAAAAGCATTGAAAAACGTAATTTCACCCTCCATTATCCCGAAAAAGGTTAAGAAAATTTTTGTGACGTTTTATTTTCAGAAGAAAACGTTGGTATACTTACCCTGCAATGGGTTCCACTGCTATATACACAGGATTCCAGGTACTGATCAGCTCTCTTTTTTCACTGCTGTCTAATCCCGCAATGTTGATATTGTTTTGATTAATACTGCTCCAAATTATACGACGTCCTATCCAGTCAATTGCTATATCACGAGGGTATGAATTTTCCAAGACCATTTGTTTACCAGTACCGTCAAAATTCACCCGATATATGTGTGAGGAACTTATAAAGTAAACCTTTTTGTCCACAGTGTCAACGTCCAACATATAAGGATAATGTTCTCCGATTCCGTCTGCGAGGATGAGTGTTGAATCATAAGTTGTCAGATCCGTTGCCAGGATTGCAGTTGTGATGCGCGATAATAAAAATGGCTCAGGGTAGATTTCTGAAAAAAAAAGTAATTGCATTTAAAACAAACCTTTGCAAAAGCTTCAGAAGGCCTACCTTTGGGTTGTAACCCACCAAAACTCGAAGCAAGATAATGCGGGTTTAAGCGATTTGAGGTAAAATTTGAATTATTTAAGCGATACGAGTTCGGTTGATATAGAGCCGCTTAAGGCGATTTAAGGAAAATTTAAAAAATTAGCGTTTGCTATTTTAATTTATCGTCCGGCGATAAATTTGGTATTTTTCATTTAATTGCTTTCAATTTAAATATCTCAATGAGTAACCCCCTTTAAAACGGAAACCATTGTTGAAATCCTTATAAAATAATATTTCGAACAGGGGGGTCAAATGCCATGTTATCGGCAATACTCTCCACTGTTATCGACAATATCAAGCGGCAAATGTGGCCGATCTCACGTGGTAGATCCGCTTTTATGTGGGCGCTATACGCCAGACCGAGGCTCTACGCCAGACCGAGGCTCGTCACCAATCCCCATTGCTTCTTCTTTCACAACGGCAACTCCCTTGTGATCGACTTGGTTTAATTTATCAACCAAGAAACTGATGAAAACTCTATTTTCCTTTCAAATATTTCATTTTTGATTTTCTTTTTCTCCCGTGGGCCGAAGGATGTGAACTTTTCTGAGCTCCATTTACTGGCACGAAACTGAAAGGCCCAATACTCAATTGGAGTAAAATGGCATTTGGGGAAATCCCTAATGCCGCTTTATTAATTATAAGATTTTGAATAACAAGTATGTGATTTAATTAAATCAAATAGAATATAGTCTTGCCCAGTAAAGGTGGTAAGTAAGGGTACAAAACCGCCAAGAGCGTCATGTAAATTATGCTGCCCCACCGGAAGAAAAATACACATATAGTCCAGGACCTGCATATGAGTTTGTACGCATTTCATTTAAGACAGGTAAATCTTAACTGTTTTGGGGCAAGTTGACCATGACGGTCAACATGGTAACGCTACCCGAACCCCAATCCGGGGCAAAACGTCCGAAACTGACCACACCCAAAAACGATGCTTTCGCCATACTGCTATCTACCAAACCATAAAAGCTTTGGCTATTTTGAGGTGCTTATATGGTTCAGAGGTTGTGCTTTTAGGGGTGGTCCTTGGTAAGTGCGAAATGCCTAGCACTGATATTTCACAGGAAAATGAGCGTGCAATACTCATAGTCAAACGTCAATTTGTGACTTACAAATTCAGATAAACAGCAGTGCACCTACATTGCCTTTTTTCCTAAATATTTTTATAGAAACATAATTGGTACTTATTTATGTATATTATCACTGCTTTGATGTAAAATAGTTAATGCTTTGAGACCGAAATAATAATTTGAAATCTACCTACCTCCAGCTACAAATGGACGTATTTGTTTATTGCTGATCTCGTAGAAATCGTTCCAAATATGTACGTCAGTTCAGTCGACATAATGGTATCAAGCACATTTTAAATAAGTTTTAACTTGGATTCAAGTAGATCATAGCTGTTTAACCATCGACAAGGTAAAACCTCAACTTTGTCCAAATTCGGAGCCATTTTGTCATCCCATGTTCGTTGTAAACATTATGCGGCCTAGTTATTCTTCCATCCAAGCAATTTCCATTGAACTAATAACAATTTTAACCCTTTACAAGGGTAGAAAACTAAAAAATCTAAACAAAAGATAAGAAATGCAGCGTTTTATCACACTTTAAAAGGTTGCACACGAGTCGTTCAAAACATTCCGAACAAATCCCGCGTGACAAAGTAACAGGGACGTGATAGGGTTGAGGTGAATATTTCACGAAGATAGAAGAAGGCTGCGTTAAATAGACTAATAGCTAAATACAATCATACAAACGTTTGTTTTATTTCTTGTAGCGATAAATAAATACATATTATATGAACATGTCATACTATAAATTAAATTTTGTTTGTTGGGCTTACCATACTGCAGCTGCTATTACAGCGTGCCTTTGCTTTGCTTAAAACTTGAAAGTGACCGCTTTCACGTCCCTGTTACTTTGCCACGCAAGATTTGTACGGAATGTTTTGAAAGACTAGTAAGCAACGTTCTACAAGGTGACAAAATGCAGCATTTTTTAAGGGTTAAATTTGCTATTAGTGCGATGGAAATGGCTTGGATGGAAGAATAACAAGGCCGAATTGTTGACAACCCACATGGGATGACAAAATGGCGCCGAATTTGGAGAAAGTTGTGGTTTTACCTTGTTGATGGTTAAACAGCTAGGATATACTTGAATCCAAGTTAAAACTTATTGAAAATGTGCTTGCTACCATTATATCTGAACTGACGTACATATTTGGAAGGATTTCAATGATGGAGAATTTGGTCAAATACGTCCATTTGCATTAGGTAGATAGATTTCAAATTATTATTTCGGTCACAAAGTGTCAACTATTTTACACAAAAAGCAGTGATAATATACATAAATAAGTACCAATTATGTTTCTATAAAAAAATATTTAGGAAAAAAGGTAATGTAGGTCCACTGCTGTTTATCTGAATTTGTACGTCACAAATTGACGTTTGACTATGAGTATTGCATGGTCATTTTCTTATGAAATATCAGTGCTAGGCATTTCACACTTACCAATGCCCACACCAAAATGTTCTATCTCTGAACCATATAAACACCTCAGAATAGCCAAAGCTTTTATGGTTTGGTAGATGGCAGTATGGCGAAAGGGTCGTTTATGGGTGTAGTCATGCAGTTCCGGACGTTTCGCCTCGGACTTGGGTTCGGGCAGCGTTTCACGTCGACCGTCATGATCAACTTGCCCTAAAACAGTTCAGATTATCTGTTCTAAATGAAATGCACACAAACTCATATGCAGGTCCTATACAAATCCGTGGCTGATTAATATTGAAATAAACCATAAACATTGTTGTCAGTAAACAACAGAACACCCGTCGGCATGCTGGTTTTGCTAATCAGTCGAACAAATGTTCGCAATATTATATTAAACTATTAATTGAATATTATTATAAGGAGATAACAAACATTGGTAAGATTGCTGACCTTTCTAATCAATCCAACTAATGTTCGCTATAATTATAATTATAGTAATATTTTTATGCATTGTTAACAAACGCTATAAGAAATGCTTACAAAGCAGACAATTCCGTAATAGAGGGCAAGTAAGAAACTGTTACCCTTGCCAATCAGTTTTCCACTCATCCTTATAAATAAACAAATTCAGGAAGAAAGGGAAAGAAGTCCAATATATTTCAGAAAAGCGTTCGACTTTCACCTACCGAGAGCACGTATTTGAGCATTGGACATACCCCGATCTGCAGCGTGGCAGCCCATACCCGAAAACTGTGACCCTTATAAACATTAGGGCTTAAATTGTATAATTTAAGAGCTTAATGCCAGTTGTATTTCAAAATAGTTACGAGGAACAGGATTTCCATTTAACAAAACAAACAAAAAACCTTGTTGTAAACCTCGGTTGCTAAAATAATCTAGAAGGACTGTAATTGCTTCTTAACAATAACGGACAACGAGCGCTGGTTATAATTGTGTTTGAAATTTCAGAACAGTAATTTGTAAAGAGACAACTTTGCCCGAACTGTCTGGCATCTTAGTCAGCTGGGTCAGACCTAAGTTTGATTGAACTCACTTATTCTGAGTAGCTGTCATTTCACCAACCCGCAAAAATGCATGGAATGCAGTAGAGCACATTGCTTGAAAAAGTGTAATCTCATAATATTGTGACAGAGAAAATTGATGAGTAATAGCAATTATTCTGTGAAGCAGTTCGATGGGCAACCTGGTGTCTAGGCGATATCCTACACGGGGCGAAAAATTGGGTTTGTCAAAAATTTACACACGAGGCAAATTCCTTGCAAATTTAATGTCCAACTTTGCCCTTGGTTTGCACGCGTGCATTTATTAAGTTTGCGACCATTCGGATTTGCCACACTTTTGCCAATGAATTTGCACGCGCGCAAATTTTAATTAAGTTTGCACAAAATTTGTACGTGGGGAAACTAGTTGCAAATCTAATGACCAAGTTTGCACTTGGTTTACACGCGTGCATTTATCACTTTTGCAGACAGCTGGATTTGCTACAAATTTGTATACCTGTTTACACGCGAGCAAATTAGAAGGTTTGCACGGGTTTACACAGTCAAAAATTTGCTGCAAATAAAAAGTTTGCCTTGAATTTTGCAAATGGGTTGACATATACAAATTTTGATTGCAAAGCTAGTGATAAATTTGCAAACTGGTTTGCACTGTTGGAGAATTCGAATTGCGCAAATCCACATACTCGCTGCCAAACATCACAAACATGCTTTAGATGACATGTTTATTCGGCAATTGCAAAAGTCGTAATGTTCAGAATAAGGCGGTCCACAGTTTCTGTTCACAAAAAGAGTAAACGGTCAGTCGACAATTGTTTGTTCTCGCTAGGTCAATTGCATGCGCAGTGCACAGGTTTGACGAATGAAACAGCAAGCCCGTCGGAAATAAATCCATATTGGGGGGAGGGGGGCTCAAGAATAAATCTGAATTGCTTTCGCACTTTTCCAGTTCTTTTGTGTGTTTTGCTTGTACAAATGGACTTTGGGAGGGGGAGGGGCAAGCCCCCTCCTTCCCCAGCACCCCCGCTTCCGACGGCCTTGAAACAGTGCGGTAGCAAATTTTAACGTAAACTGACCGTGCTGATACCGAATGGAATACTCTATATCTTTGAGAAATATTAAACTGTTAGAGTTCATCAATAACGGCATCAATATACAATCGTACAAGCTGTCTAGCTTGTACGGTTGTGAAAATACGTACACGAAATACCGTGAAGCCGGAAAATGTTTGGCACATTGAAAAAGTTGTTCCCATCCATGTTTATCAATAATTAACCATTCGTACAAAGCTGCACACGACGCTAACTACCACTGTCGTTTCAGGTCGGGGGGAGGTTTTATAACTTATGTACTTTTCTATAATGCTGACTGGACCATTTAATCCATAATCGCCATTCCTGAATGTCAACATTTAAGAATATTCCCTGGGATAGGGGGAGGGGATTGAAATAAGAAATATTTCGATGATTCCTGGACGACACCTCGCTCACTGAGCGATGTAGTCTCAAATTTGACACATTTTCCTCTTTGAAGTAAATTGTAGGTTTGCCGAGGATTTTGCGAATGGGTTTGCATATATGAACTTCAATTGCAAATTTAGTTACAAATTTGCACAGGAATTTGCAAACGTGCGTTTATTAAGTTTGCAAGGTCTCATTTTGCTACAAATTTGCTACAGGTTTGCACGCGTGTAAACTTTGTGGTTTGCTATTAAATTTGACAAACTAGCAAACCTATTGCAAGAAATAAGTTTACCTTAAATTTTGCGAATGATTTTACTTATAGAAAATTTTATTGCAAATTTAGTCATAAATTTGCAAAGAGTTTGCAACAGTGCGAACTTCATCGCAAATGTATTTTTTTACTATTGTTTAAATTATTAGAGCTTTCTCGATATAATTTAATAGCTATGTCAATGATAATTTTAATCTGAGGTATAATGCTACTTAGAACATTTTTTCCTGCTGGAAGTTCGCATATTGAACTGCTCTTGCATGATGGAAAATTTTAGATAAAATTTGTGTCACTCTTATGGCGGCCAAAATTGCAAAATTATTATAAAATATGCGATTCTAGATCTGGGGCCGGTTGTATCAAGCCTGTTTAGCTTAAACAGTGGTTAAGCTCAAAATAGAAAGCAAGTCTATATATAGTCAGATTCATTCAACAACCAAACTAAAAGTTTTGAGCCTTGATAGGACGATAATGTTTACAACTACATATTTAATGCACAATATTTAAGTTGCCTGTTTCACAAGAGAGAAAAGAGTGTTATTTTATTTTGACTTATCCACCGTTTAAGCTATTAAACAGGCTTGATACAACCGGCCCTAGTAGAGAAAATAAAAACTGGAAATGTAAGGAAATTTGAAATGATCAAGTGGATGCATGTCTTTTCCCGCTAAAATTGAAAAGGCGCTTCGAAATTTTTCAAGATGCTTTTTTTGCACAAGTTTCAGCATTTTTTGCCTTTTTTTCTGGTTGGAAAAGCGTCGAAAAGCATCAAAAGAACAATTAAATGGTCATTTAAAGGATTTTTTTCAATATTTGAGTGAATATAATGGTTATTGCCGCACAAAAATGGACTATTTTGACGAAAACTGGAACAGATATTGACATTCCATTGTCATTTTGGAAAGTTGAGCTTGGACGTGCAAATAATCAATGTGACGAATTGTCAGTGTCAAGCCGAGGCTAAATGTTACATGGTAAGAGCATTTATGAACGAGTTTTTATTACCTATTTTTGTTTTTAAGACATTTTAGAATGCATTTGAGGAATTTTTTATTGTTTTGAAAATACATGTACCCTGTATCACTTATTTTGAAAATTATTTGAAAGCATGGTTATATTTGTTATTTATTAAGTTAGGAAAAGAACCACTATCCCGTCTTGATATTTGCTGTTTTTCATTGAGAAAAAGACACAATGCAATATAAGCTAGAAAATGGTATTAATTTTAGGTAATACTATAAATTTATTTATTATTTATTTAAAAAAATCCTGGTGTCTGATTGGCCAACAGCCAACTGTGAAATTGTCATATCTACTCAATGGCTAACCAAATACGGATTTTTCACATTCATAATAGCAAAATGACGTCAAAGAGTCAATATGAAAAAAATTTGGACGCGTTTGCGCCATATTACTATGAGAACGAGAATCATATTGACTCGCTGACGCCATTGCAATGACGACGACGGCTGCCGAAGGACTAAGGAATTGTTTTTTCAGTCTTAATACAAATAAAATACAAATGGCTTCTTCCACTGAAAGGTTTGCAAACCTGGGCGAAGCCGAAATTCAAAAATTACTGGAAGATAAAGATTCGTTAAATACAAAAAGATCAACAAAAGCTTCTAGAATAGGTAAGAACACTCAGTTTCTTAATTCTTTTCCTGATTTATAACGTGACGTGGGCGAACAAATAGATGACCGTTTGTTTTGAATTTTTTAAATAAATAATAAAACAATTATTGAATTCGGTTTTCGCACAATATGAAGAATTACCAAGCTCTCAGTTTGCCGTTATCAACCTCAGCCTTCGGCTTCGGTTGATAACGGCAAACTTCGGGCTTGATAATTCTTCATATTGTGCTCAACCTCATTCAATAATTGTTAAATATTAGTTTAAATTTCAGAAATTAATGTAATTAATATTGTGCATTTGTGCTGCATTTATAACATGGCTCAGCTATATCAATTGAATCCTATTATTATTAAATCATGGGACCAACAGCTTATCTGTTTCTTGGTATTGCAAGAGCTGCAGTTCAGTATATCCCTATTTCTCCTTTATGCTTTCAAGTTATCATAATACTGGGTGCAAGATTTTAATTCCCCTCCCTTCAGTGCAATGCTATTGGGTCATTCCATACATATCAAGACTCCCTCCATAGTCATAGAGGATAATACTGCAGTTCTTATTGTACATGTATTAGGATGTTCGAAAAGGAACTAACTACGAAATAATTGTCAATTGAATTTCCTCTTCACGTTCATGATGGCAGGTGTGGAGTTTTTGTGCAATGTCTCAGTTCTGCACAAGGTGTAATGAGTGCATTTGAACATTTTCGCAGGAGACATGAGTAACACAATATTTATGCTTGTTTTAATAAAATATGTCTTTTATAATTTAATATAGTTTAGCTAACCCCATGTTTCAGAGTAGAAATTGATTAGTATTGAGAAAGAGACTGTTTCGAGGAACTGCAGGGGCTCGGACTCCCCGAATATGTACAAAACGAAAGTAACTTTATATTTTTGTAAATTTTTGTTTATGTTAAATTTCACGACAATTTTCCGTATATTTTGTGAATAAAATAAGTTTAAAAACATGGTCCTTCGTGTCGGATAGAAGAAAAGTTTACTATTTAATGATTGGCGTTAATAAATAGTGTTTATTGCTTGTTGGAAGAATGTCGAAAGAGCTAGAAGGCGTGAAAAAGAAGCGACGTTTTATGAGAAAGTCGGTGACGGACAGTTTAAAGTTGATTGATGAAGCGCTTGCAGAGGAAAATAGTCATGCCAGAGTTCAGGTACTGAAAGATAATATTTTAAGTAAATGGAATGATTTAACAGAGGTACAAGCCTCGCTTTCTATATATTTGGAAGACAGTGAAATTGACAGTGAATGTGCAGCACACAATGAGTATGAAATGAGAGTTATGGACTATATGGCTAGAATGACAAAGTATTTAAGTGTTAATACACATGCTGAGAACAGCAATTGGTCTAACGAGAGTGGGTCAAGTTTGGGGTCCACATGTAAAGTTCAAGTTAGACTGCCAAAGATTGAATTACCAACATTTGATGGGGATATATTATGTTGGCAATCATACTATCAGTCTGTTAAAGTGTCCATTGTGGATAATAGTGCTTTAGCTGATGTGCAAAAACTAGAGTACATTATGCGATCACTGAAGGGTGTAGCTGCTGAGTCGGTTAAGGGATTTTCAATAGTGGCTGAGAATTATGAATCTGTTTTGTCAACTCTGAAGGAAAGATTTGGTCATTCAAGGTTGATCTTGGATGCGCATATGAGGGGTTTGATCCATTTACCTGGATTGAGTGCTGAAGATGCAACATCTATGAGGGTGTTTTATGATAAAGTAGTCGGGCATGTTCGCTCGGTTGAGTCAATGGGAGAGAAGTATAGCTCTGAAACCTTGGCACCAGTATTGGTTCCTTTGATTGTTGATAACCTACCAAAAAAACTTGTGGAAAAGTGGGAGCTTGAAATTTGAGATAAGAAAGAGGGCTGATTGCCTATAAAAACACTCTTTACTTTCTTAGAGCAAGTCATAAGGGCAAAGGAATCTAGTACACAAGCCCCTAATGTAGAATCCAAAACTCCAAAGAATATTTCTTTGAAGGAAGGATTTCACAAAAATCCATCATTCAGAAGATCTTCAACATTAGCGTTGCGTTCGTCTACTCAAACTCAAGAAAAAGAGTGTGTTGTTTGTGGTAAGGATCACAATGTGTGGTCTTGCATTAACTTCCTTTCATTGACAGTGAAAGAGAGATTCCGGAAAGTTAGTGCTAAAGGTCTGTGTTTCCTGTGTTTGGAAGGTGGTCATAGGTCGAACAGCTGTAGTCGAAAGACATTGTGTAAGCATTGTAGAGGTTGTCACCATCACCTTCTCCACACAGACCAGCTGCCCCCAAATAGAACACATCCAGACAAGACTGAAGCCGCAGAAGGTCAGTCTGCAAGTCAAGAGGATGCATCAAAGAATGTTTCAAAGAATGTAACAGCCAATTCAGTTGGAACTGATGACATTGGAGAGGTGATTCTACAAACAGTCTCGATAGCTATGGAGTGCTATGGATACCAGTGGAGTGTTATAGATAGCTATGGAGTGTTGTGGATAGTTATGGAGTGTTATAGAGAGCTTTGGAGTGCTATGGATACCAGTGGAGTGTTATAGATAGCTATGGAGTGTTATGGATACCAGTGGAGTGTTATAGATAGCTATGGAGTGTTGTGGATAGTTATGGAGTGTTATAGAGAGCTTTGGAGTGCTATGGATACCAGTGGAGTGTTATAAATAGCTATGGAGTGTTGTGGATAGTTATGGAGTGTTATAGAGAGCTTTGGAGTGCTATGGATACCAGTGGAGTGTTATAGATAGCTATGGAGTGTTGTGGATAGTTATGGAGTGTTATAGAGAGGTTTGGAGTGCTATGGATACCAGTGGAGTGTTATAGATAGCTATGGAGTGTTATGGATACCAGTGGAGTGTTATAGATAGCTATGGAGTGTTGTGGATAGTTATGGAGTGTTATAGAGAGCTTTGGAGTGCTATGGATACCAGTGGAGTGTTATAGATAGCTATGGAGTGTTATGGATACCACTGGAGTGTTATAGATAGCTATGGAGTGTTATGGATACCAGTGGAGTGTTATAGATAGCTATGGAGTGTTATGGATACCAGTGGAGTGTTATTGATAGCTATGGAGTGTTATGGATACCAGTGGAGTGCTATTGATAGCTATGGAGTGTTATGGATACCAGTGGTGTGCTATAGATAGCTATGGAGTGTTATGGATACCAGTGGAGTGTTGTAGATAGCTATGGAGTGTTATGGATACCAGTGGCGTGTTATCGATAGCTATAGAGTGCTATGGATACCAGTGGAGTGTTATAGATAGCTATGAAGTGTTGTAGATAGTTATGGAGTGTTATAGAGAGCTATGGAGTGCTATGGATACCAGTGGAGTGTTATAGATAGCTATGGAGTGTTGTGCATAGTTATGGAGTGTTATAGAGAGCTTTGGAGTGCTATGGATACCAGTGGAGTGTTATAGATAGCTATGGAGTGCTATGGATACGAGTGGAGTGTTATAGATAGCTATGGAGTGTTGTGGATAGTTATGGAGTTTTATAGAGAGCTTTGGAGTGCTATGGATACCAGTGGAGTGTTATAGATAGCTATGGAGTGTTATGGATACCAGTGGAGTGTTATAGATAGCTATGGAGTGTTATGGATACCAGTGGAGTGTTATAGATAGCTATAGAGTGTTATGGATACAAGTGGAGTGTTATAGATAACTATGGAGTGTTACGGATACCAGTGGTGTGTTATAGATAGCTATGGAGTGTTATGGATACCAGTGGAGTGTTATTGATAGCTATGGAGTGTTATGGATACCAGTGGAGTGCTATCGATAGCTATGGAGTGTTATGGATACCAGTGGAGTGCTATAGATAGCTATGGAGTGTTATGGATATCAGTGGAGTGTTATCGATAGCTACGGAGTGTTATGGATACCAGTGGAGTGTTATAGATAGCTATGGAGTGGTATGGATACCAGTGGAGTGTTATAGATAGCTATGGAGTGTTATGGATACCAGTGGAGTGTTATAGATAGCTATGGACTGTTATGGATACCAGTGGAGTGTTATAGATAGCGATGAAGTGTTATGGATACCAGTGGAGTGTTATAGATAGCTATGGAGTGTTGTGGATAGTTTTGGAGTGTTATAGAGAGCTTTGGAGTGCTATGGATACCAGTGGAGTGTTATAGATAGCTATGGAGTGTTATGGATACCAGTGGAGTGTTATAGATAGCTATGGAGTGTTACGGATACTAGTGGAGTGTTATAGATAGCTATGGAGTGTTATGGATACCAGTGGAGTGTTATTGATAGCTATGGAGTGTTACGGATACCAGTAGAGTGTTATAGATAGCTATGGATTGTTATGGATACCAGTGGAGTATTATAGACAGCTATGGAGTGTTATGGATACCAGTGGAGTGCTATAAATAGCTATGGAGTGTTATGGATACCAGTGGAGTGTTATAAATAGCTATGGAGTGTTATGGATATCAGTGGAGTTTTATAGATAACTATGGAGTGTTAAGGATACCAGTGGAGTGTTATAGACAGCTATGGAGTGTTATGGATACCAGTGGAGTGTTATAAATAGCTATGGAGTGTTATGGATACCAGTGGAGTGTTATAGATTGCTATGGAGTGTTATGGATACCAGTGGAGG